GCTGACGCACATCAAAACTAAGTCTATGGTCCTTTTTTTAAGAGGGGGGAAAAAAGAGAAAGCTGTTCAGTGCAATCCTGATAAAACTGATGGCCTCTTCTGTATTCGAGACCAATTTGAAACCAGCGATCATTGACCTCCAGCCTGGCAGCTTCTTCAAAGCTAGCTTAGGACCTTCGTGGACCTTTAAATATTTATTCATTAAAAAAGCAAACCGAGCAGATGGGCCTCTGACTCCACCTGCGAAGTTCATCAACCCCGAAACCTCCAATCCAAAGGATCCAAGAGGACGAACCTACGTGCAAGGTCAATCGTGCTCGCTCATGCTGAAAGAAAAGCCCAATTTTTACAACTACCGTAGCACTGGATGCCTCCTCCCAAAATCCAGAGTATTTGCTGCAGAATTGAAAACTAAAGCTTTGCCTGGATTTTTCCTTTTTACTGCAGGTAGCAATTCAGGCCAGAATGCTTTCTTGAAAGAAAATAGAATAGGATAAAGAAGCCGGGGGGGGGGGGATTACTTTGTCCTGTTTACTAGGAATTCTAAGAATTCAAGTCCAAACACATGGCTAACCATAGAAAAACTGTTTTATATTTTGATGCCTATACAAACTTGCTGGCAGCTGCAAAATAGATGCAGAAAGAATACAGTGGTGGCTGCCAACCCACATTTTTTTACCAGTGACTTCTAGACAGCTGATCTGCGATCTGATCTCATAATGCTCAGAAATTTCTTCACCTGCCCACACACAGCTTCATTGGTTACTGTTCTATGTGGGTAGAAAAACTATGACTTTCAAAACATCCTACATATTTTTCTTTAAACAATGTTCTCCAGCATAGAAGCCTGAAAAATAATAGTAATAGTAGTAATAATGATAGTAGTAGCAGTGATGCCTTCATCTTTCCCCACCCTGGGCTAAATTTCAGGTCATTAGAAAGAATATGATCCTAGCAGATTAAATTAAAATACAGGTAGTTCTTGACTTAAAAACAGTTCATTTAGTGACTGTTCAAAGTTACAACGGCACTGAAAAAAGTGACTTATGAGCGTTGCAACATCCCCATAGTCAACATAATCAAAATTCATATCCTTGGCAACTGACTCATATTTATGAAGGTTGCAGTGTCACAAGGTCATGTGATCTCCTTCTGCAACCTTCCCAATCAGCCTCTGACAAGCCAAGTCAATGGGGAAGCCAGAACTGTGTTAATAAGTTAACAACTGTAGTGATTCACTTAAGAACTGTGGCAAGAAGGGTCGTAAAATGGGGCAAAATTCATTTAACAACTGTCTTCCTTGGCAATGGAAATTAGGAGGTCAATTGTACTCATAAGTCTAGGACTACCTATAGTTATAACTATTAGAACAGTATTACTGAACAGAATACCATTACTGTAACTAGTAAATCTCTGGTTTAGAGCTTGCTAATTTAGCATCATGAATTTAATAATTTTCTGGGATCAGAGCCAGAACTCCGATAAAATTCCATGCCATTACAGAAAAAGCATCAACACACTGAGGATCTGGATGCTGTCATCCTTGGGAGGCCCAACTCCAAATCCTTGTTTAGCCATGAAACCTTTGTGTGTCACTCTTTCTCAGCTTTGCCTCAATAATGTGGATAGGTGGAATGAATGGCTATTGTCAAGGAAGTAATTTTCACTGTACATTTCCTTCTATCTATATTGTTTATCATTCATCATTCCAACACCATATATTCTTCATGTCTCAAAATTATGATTTTATGTTTATTTATGAACTTCACCAAACCAAGATATCCATTTTAATTTCATAGTATTTTAGAAGTGGATAAGAGAATTTCAACAGAAAATGCAATCCATTGGTCAATACCTTTTTAAAATCACTGAATTGTTCAATCTTTATATGAAGATATTTAAGTAGAATTACTACCAAACTAAAATGCTGTACAGTACTTTATTAGAGCAACCAGCTGTAGCTGCAGGTATCTGGATGAGCGCTAGGTGGTGGCAAAGAGACTCTGTTGTGGATGTAATCTGGTGGGCATCTGGAGTTTTCAAGCCCAGGTATGGTGGCCCTAACTTTAGTACATAGTACTAAGTACAGCAAATACAGGCTTGGTTGGAGGGAAAAGGTTGTGAATGATGCACCAAGCTGATCTGTTTTGTACAAATGCAGCTAACCTCAGTGTAACTTCAGCCAGGGAACAGAACATGAATTCAGTAAACAAGTGAGAGGTGAAAGGACAGCAAAACATGGACTTTTCCAGAATCACTCACTAGAGGGCACTAAGTTCATGCTGGCAAAGCTCAGTTTTCCCTTGTAAACAGCACTGGAAAACAGCTGAAGGGAGAGAAGCATTGAATGGGAGACAAAATAAATTAGGAATTGAGCAGTCCTCATTGGAAGCTATCATAATTTTTGCTTTACTTCAAGTAGCCTCTGTTCTAATATGCAACGAAGGGAATAAAATAAACAAGCAGACAAACAATAAAAACTAATGAGTCCCCCTGCAACACCCTTTGGCTAGGACCCAGATACAGTGGCAGTGGCCACAAAGAATTATGTGGGAAGAACTTCTTGCAGTCTGGATTAACAAAGGACAGATTCCCAACCACAGGCAAAGATTTCTACAGGTGTGCAATTTTTTGGGCCAAGCAATGCAGACCCAGATTCCTTAAATAAAACTACAAGAACCCACCCTTCTTTGCATGTGATCACTAGCACATGCCTGCCATTAGATCAGTGGTTCTCAACCTTTCTAATGCCGTGACCCCATAATACAGTTCCCCATGTTGTGGTGACCCCCAAGTGGGTGTGGCCACCAATAAGAGGGAGTAGGACAGCTAGGGAAAAGGGAAAAAAATGGCGGATAGCGTGGTTTGGCGACCCCCATGAAATGGTCATTCGACCCCAAATGGGGTCCCGACCCACAGGTTGAGAACCACTGCATTAGATAATCAATTTCCAAAAGGAAGATAGGGATTGAGTGTTTAAGACTCTGGAGGTGGAACAGAGAATCTGGACAAGCACAAGGGCTGTCTTCTATAGAGACCTAGAACCATCGGGTGGTTAGAAATATAATCATCCTGGCTGCAGATGCAGAGGACAGAGCTGCATAAAACAGGGGTCGGCAACCTTGGCTCTTTTATGACTCGTGGACTTCAACTCCCAGAATTCCTGAGCCATGGCTGGCTCAGGAATTCTGGGAGTTGAAGTCCATGAGTCATAAAAGAGCCAAGGTTGCCTACCCCTGGGCTAGTATTTGACTACAGCCTCCACTTGATGCCATCCCTAGAGGGAGGCTGCAGTTCTCATAATCCCAAACCAATATGGTCAAACCTCACAAACAAACCATACCTGTTGGCATTCTTTTTAATGGTATTAAAGAGTCTTTGGCTTTTTTTTTTAAGCACAAAAGGTTTGCTTTTAGCTATGATCCGCACCTAAAATCTGTTAGGAAATCAAAGAGTTTATAACATGCAAAATATGACGTTTATTAAATTGCTTTATGAACAATGCAAACAAATCACTAATGCACTCCAATACCAGTATATTTTCCTTCACATCTCATGCTTAGATTTTTGTGCAAAAGAAATACTAGATTTATTAACTCAAACGTGCTAATCTTAAACAATCACTTCTCAATCTTTTTTTTCTGGGTTGTATTTTATGCCAGTCAATTCCAAAGGAACACTCGTTAATTTGAAGCATCCCAAATTAATTAAATTGTTCTTTCCCTCGCTCCTGACTCAATTTCTCCACAACTGAACATTTGGTTCAAGTGACCAGATATGAACTTGTCTGAATAGGTTTTGTCTACTGTGAAATAATCAAGCATTTTAAGTACCCTAAAATCTGGCAATCAACAAAGCACCACTTAATTAAAAAAAATTAGTTGAACTCAGAATGAACGTATGGCCCTGTGGTAGATAGCACAAGCATCTAAAACTTAACTTTTAGAAAACTTGTCCTTTGCAATTTAGTACTGTCCAAATATGTTGTATAACTCCCATGACCCTCAGCCAGTACTGCTTAATGTGCTTGTAGATTATGAATAATGTAAGCCAGCAGCTAGGGCAGGGGTAGGCAACCCAAAATACTCAAAGAGCCACTTGGACCCGTTTCCCACCAAAAACAAAACACCGGGAGCCGCAAAACCCTTTTGATATCTAAAATGAAGATAACACTGCATATATCCTTTTTTACCTTTATTATAGGTGTGTGTGTGTTTGTGTGTTTGTGTGTGCGCACACACACACACACACATATTAAAAATAAAAGTAAAAATATGACTCTTGGGAATATCCATACTATTAAAACAATGATCACCAAGAGAATGCTTTAATGCTTTAAGACAGTGTTTCCCAAACTTGACAATTTTAAGGCATGTGGACTTCAACTCCCAGAATTCCACAGCCAGCGTTGCTGGGAGTTGAAGTCCTCATGCCTTAAAATTGTCAAGTTTGGGAAACACTGCTTTAAGAGAATAAAATTACATACACACACAGGTAAAAAAAGGATATATGCAGTGTTATCTTCATTTTAGATGTCAAAAGGGTCTCTCTCTCTCTCTGTCTCTCTCCCTCCTTCCCTCTCTATCTGCCCTTGGTCTGCCACTCCTCTTCCCCCACTCTCTTTCTTTCTCTCTCTTTCCTCTCTCTCTCTCTCTCCCTCCCTCTCTTTCTCTCTCTCTCTTTCTCCTCCCCCCTCCTATCTGCTGCTCACCTGGCAAGCTCCAAGCTGTTGTCCAACAAGCTCAGGGGTAAGCAACCTCGTCTCTTTTATGACTCATGGACTTCAACTCCCAGAATTCCTGAGTCAGCCTAGCTGGGCTAGCTAGCTCTCTCCTGCCTTCCTGCTTCCTGCAGAGATGCAGCAAAGGGAGGAGCTCCCCAGTAAGCTTTTCAGCTCCTCGGAGAACACTGTGAGTGCACTCTCTTTTACAGAGAGAGAGAGAGAGAGAGAGAGAGAGAGAGAGAGAGAGAGAGAGAGAGAGAGAGAGAGAGAGGAGAGGAGAGAGCAGGGAAGCGCAATTGCCTCTCTCTGTCTCTCTCTGCAAAGGCAGAGGAGGCGGGGAGCCACAGGGGAAGGCTCAAAGAGCCGCATGCGGCTCCGGAGCCGCAGGTTGCCGACCTGTGAGCTAGGGGAATATTAAATTGTGGAATGCTGCCTAAAGTAAAGATAAGATTTTTTTTGCACAAACAAGTCAATTTGTTTTGTCTTGCATCTGGAAACAAGATGTGAAAATAGCAACAATCTTCAGATGCAAAGGAAGCAAGGTATCCTTGAAAAGGATGGTTCCAGGTATCTCGTCTCTGAAAAAAAGAAAATATAACATAGACAGGCATAACAGTTGTGCATGTTTATAATTATGCTGAGAGGATACTTCAAAAATAATGGCAACAATAGAAATAGAAATAACAAAACTCACTGCAAGGGAAATGTCTTCTCAGGTAACCTGGTCAGTTTGTCCTCTGCATGCAATAGAAAGGCTGCTTCAGGGCATCCATTCCCACTTCTTAGAGGCATTTATCTTTAATTTGGCCATCAAGCAGAAAATGGCCACCCTGTATTTTGTAAAACAATTATTTATTGATTACTTCAATGAATATAGCTACCCATATCAAATTCATGACTCTAAGTAGCTCACGGCAATTAAAACTATATACAAAACAAAATAAATAATCCATTCAATGATCAGTAGCTGAATACACCAAAACCCACCAACAACAACAATCGGCAGACAGTCTACGGCAGGGGTGACAAACTCACTGTGTCACGTGACGTGTCACAACTTTTTTCCCCTTGCTGGAGCTAGGGCGGGTGCAGCTTCCGTGTGAGGCATCCGGCCTGTGGGCCGGCAGTTTGACACCCCTGCTCTACAGACTATTAACTACCTGGGTTCTCAAGTGCGATGCCAAAACCAAGTGTTTTAAGGCTTTACACAAAGCCCACAGGACTGAAGCCAAGCTGATTTTAGGGAGACTTGACATGTCTGCTGATGCTGCTGAGAGATACTCACCTTTTACATATTTACACATGTCCTTTATTATTATATAGAGGTGGATATCGAGCATTCAAAAATATAAACCAAATAGCCCAAGCTTACAGTATATACTCCACAATGAAGCATCTGCTTGTGATATCTAAAAACTATTAGTTCTTGCAGTTTCCTTTGCAAGATTTCAGAAGTAATTTGCTCTTGCCTACTTCCTTGGGCTGAGAAAGTGAGACTGGCCCAAGGTTACTCAGCTGGATTTTGACTAAGGCAGCACTAGAACTTACGGTCTCCTGCTTTCTAGTTTGATGCCTTAACCACTACACCAAAACTAGGTAAAATAAGGGTCCATAAACACCACATTTCCAAAAAATAAAGGGTTAGACAGATCAAAAGTGGATACTTTGAACTGAGCTTGAATACAAACTGGAAGCCTTGGCACATGTTCAAAATATCTCCAACCTTCTTGAAACTGAATTCTACATATGCCGAAGTTCATGGACTGTCTTCAAAGGCAGTTTTAAATTGTGCATAATGTACAAATCTAAGAGTTTCTATGTAATTGGAGCTATGCAGTTGTTATTGCAGGTTTATTGTAATCTCCCCACACTTCCTTTGAAGAACTGAGGGATACTTAGAAATAATTCCCAAGCTTCTGGCTCATGGCACTACTCACCAAAAAAAAAAAAAAAAAAAAAAAATACTGACTGGCTTCTTCCTTTGTGCTTATGCCAGTTACTTAACCATGATTTAAAGAATAAACTATGGCCAGGTGCAAAGAACATATTAAATCATACATAATAGATTACATAGTATATGGTTTCACATACTATTCCACCCTACTTCTGCTTGTTTGATTCTGGCTTAGTATGAAGTGTGAACTCAACCATTAATCAATTGTTTTATCTTTTTCTGCTTTAGAATACTCTTAAGAAAAAAAAGTTGGTGAAGATATAGGAATTTTTGATATGAAAGACGTCGTCTGGAATAATTTCTGTTATTTAAAAACCAGTAATTGTTGCATATGAAGATGCCAGGCAGATGCCTTAGACTCTTATTAACTTTTTTAAAAAAATAATCAAGTACCAAAGGAGCAGGGCCTTTTCTGTTACGGCTTCACATTTTTCAAATTAATTTTCTAATGAGTGGCATATGCCTGCCCCTATTTAGGACTTAAAATTCAGTTTTAAAATAATTTTCATAGTACAAAGTTTGTATTGCATCAGTTGAGAGCTCAGGTGGGGTATACCAGTTAAGGCCCAGAGGTCCCCAACCTTTTGGGTATTGGGGACAGGTTCAGTGGAGAGAATTTTTTCCAAGGACCAGAGGGGGTGTGGTTTCATATGCTGCCTGCATCCTGTGGATGGTGGATTTGCTTGGTTGCATGGGCCGGTTTCTAGCATGTGGTGGACCGGTGGTGGTCTGTGGACCAGGGATTGGGGACCCCTAAGTACTACTGTGAAGTGGGGTGACTCAGAGCCTGGTGCTCCATATATGGAAGCTGGCTGGTTGACTTTGAGTAATTCTAGACTGGGAAACTGTAAATAAATTAAAAATTAACAGTATAAAAAAATACCAACTTGTACTGTGCCAGTGTGGGTCCACAACCTTCATCCTGCAGTTGGATTGATGTGAGATGTAATAACAAAGAGGAAGGCCGCCCCGAGGTGGATTTTTCTTTTTTCAATTCCTCTAAAGCAAGCCTACAAAACCACAGAATGAATCCCCTTTTTAAAAAGACACTCTAAGCAAGTTACCTACTGCCAAGAAAACAACTAATCTGGAGGCAAAAGAGCTGCTTTTCTTTCCCTATCTGGGAACCTGTTTACTATCTTGAGCACTGCATGTACCGGCATGTCAGCAACATTGATGGCTAAATTAGCTTGTCTCTTTGGACTGAGGGCGGGGAACGATAAGCAGAAGCTACTTTCGCTTGGGCTGAAAACGCGGGTAAGTCGCGTCCTTCGGCTGTGTGTGCGGAGAAAGTTACGTAAAGGCAGCTCAAGCCGTAAACACCTTAACAAAAGACCGAGAGATCCTCCTGTCCTTAACTTTCCGAGAATTCCTCGGAGAGCCCGGGAAAGCCTGATCCAGCCCGCCAATCACATGCCTTGGGCCCGGCAAGTTCCTTTCGCTTTGCAAAAAAAAAAAAAAAAAGGCAGAGAGGCAGCAGAGAGACCCTGCCCACAGAAGCCGAACGCGCTGCACGAAAGACTACCTATGTAAAAAAACCTCCAAGACCTTTGCACGGCCACAAGGGGAAAGCAACCCCTGCACGGTTATTTTTCAAAGACTTGCTTGCTAAGTAGGTAGGATAGACCCTAGATTGCAACAACATAAAAAAGGCGGAAGGGGCAGGAGAGAAGAAGCGGGTCCCCCCTTTTAGAGTTCCCCGAAGACCATATTTCAGAGCATACATCACTTCACGTCTTGTTTTCAGACCCACTCACTCTCCCCTCTGCATTGCACGGCAGTCCTTTTCGCGGTCAGAAGAGAAGGCAGCATGCACCAGTTCCCCCCCCCCGGCGGATTTCCTCTAAGGAAGCCTAGACGAGCTCCGTGCAGCTCGCTCCAAATTTGCGGGGCTAGACTGGGATCCCTGGCGTAGCTCTAGAGACCATCCTCGATTTGCAACCTGCTGTAATTTACTCAGCCTCCGATTTTTGCAAACGGCTTTGTATCGCAAAGCTGTGCCGGATTCTCATCAGAATGGACAGAATGAGTATCTTAGCCGCGGTAGCCACCTTCGACCTCTTTCTGCAGCTGCCCTGAATTCACTTCCTCCTCCCGTCCAAAAACCGGGAGGAAAGGGCCCCTTATGTTTTGTTTTTTTCCTTCTTCCTCTGCATCTTCGTTCCCTCCCTCCCTTCTGCCTTTCTTTTCTTTCTTCTTTTTCCTCCTCCTTTCCTGGTTGCCCAATCGCTGGAGCCATGAGCCTGCGCATCAGCTGATCATGTCTCGCTCACGATTGGAAGAAGCCAATCAGCGAACGGGGGGGATTGGCACCGGGCGGTAATTAAAGGAGGCAGCCGGCAGCCGTACTCGTCTAGAGCCGAGCATGGGCGATCCTCTTTAGTGGTCGGCTTGCCAGTCCTTGTGAATCCCGCCTGCCTTCCACCGTTGCACCTTTTCCTCGACGACGGCCAAGGTAAAGGGCGCGTGGCTCTTGTGAACAGAGGCTGGAAGGAGTTGGGGAAGGGGAGTCGGGGTTTCGCGGCGCATTTTCCAGTAAACCCACCGCATCATCTCCGCCCCCCCCGCGGGTTTCGCTGAGAAAGGGGGAGAGGAGGCGAAGGAAGAGAGAATAGGAAGTTTTCCCGAAGTCGCTCTCATTTTCCTCTATGATTGTGGACCAGCTACTGTTATACTCCGCTGGTGATGCAGTTTAGAGGGCTGTGGTAGATAGCCGGGGCGGCTCGCCATCTCTCCTCATTTCTCCTTTAAACAAAAGCAATTAAGTTGTTAAGTGTGGTCCTTAACGCGCTCCTGGTGCTGGGGTGGGGGGAGGGGCGTTCTGGAATTTCCAGGGAAAAGAGGGCTTTGTTCGGACGTTCGAAATTGTGTCTGCCGTTCTCTCTCCTCTCCTGATGTCTCGAGTAGACCGGTTAACTGCAATGGTCCTCTTCCAATCAATCCCGATGGCTTAGAGGAGATTTCCTGCTGCTCCGATTTTGGATGGAGAAAATGGGAAATAACCGCGGAGGCCTATGAGAACGGGTTCCCTCCGTTTCTTGCAGGCCCTTTGAGCCCTAGCTAGCTAGCTAGCTTGGTCTCTACGGCTGCTGTTGCTTTGAATTCTTGCCCTGGCTTTTGTTAAATGGGGAGGCAAGGAGGAATCCCTAGAAACGACAATGGACTTGAAGGGACTCTGTCCCTTTTTTTCCTCCGCCTTTTTCAAAGGCTGGATGGCTCCGGTTTGGTTCAAGGCGGCGGGATGCGTAAAAACAACGCGGTTGCCCTGGGGAGGGGATAAAATGGTCTCCCTCGTCATGCACTGGAGAAGAGAGGGCGCAGGGTATAAAAGGAGAGTAAAAACGAGCATCTCGCAAGGTTGGAACCAAAGGTAGAAGAGGAAGTGCTGGTTGAAGACAAAAAGCACAGCCTTTGGAGGGTTTGAGTTTGATTAGGAAAAGGAGGGGGAGCCAGGGGCGGCTGTGGTGTGTGTGTGTGTGTGTGAGTGTGTGTGAGATTTATATATTAAGGTAAAGTATTCCTGGTGGACAAGTTCATGCAGCTTTTGGGAAAAGGCAACAACATTTATGTATTTATTTACTTATTTAATATCCCCAGTCCTAACTGCAAAAGACAATGCAGATTGGAATAATCGGATAAAAAACAAAATTCCAAAACAATTTGTTCCTTTGCTAATGAGAAACAGTATTGATTTTATTCATTTATATATTTATGTACTTAGATTGCAAAATGCAATCAGGGTTGATGCTGTGTCAACTTCTCCAGAGAGGGGCAGGTACAGGAGGAATGTTCCAAAGAGTGACTTGGCATGGCTTTCTTCCAGGATGGTTTTTGATTTCCCAATCTAGAGTGTAACTAGAATTTCCTGGGGATCTCCCATCCAAGTACTAACTAGTCCAACTCTGCTTGGTTTTTTTTCCCTCCCAAGATCAGCTGAAGTTGACTAGATGCTGCCATCTGCTGTCCCTGTATATATTACAATTTTACAATCCACACTGGTCCTTAGAGAAAAAAATAAGTGAAAGAAATAGGATAATTCCAAGAATCTAATTCAGTGACACAGATGGTTCATTCAGCCATCTAATGTGTCTAGGGTGCCTGTAACAGCCATGGCTAACATGAACATGTGGCATCTTAAGAGGCAGAGTTGGAAGACAATTCCTTAAAAAAGGAAGGGTAACTCAAAATCCAGGTAATATCAGGACCTGTTGGATTAGATCAGTGGTTCTCAACCTTTTTAATGCCGCGACCCCAACCGGTCGTAAGTCGAGGACTACTCAACCAGTCATAAGTCGAGGACTACTCAACTGGTGCAGCACCGTTTGCAGATGGGACTTTTGGCGGGCTCAGCAGGGCAGAGACAGCCTGGACAATTCCTATTGGCTTTTGAAAGCCAATACAATTAGACTATATTCAAGAGAGTCTATTCTATTGGCTTTCAAAAGCCAATAGAATAAAAGGGAGTAGCACAGCTAAGGAAAAGGGGGGGGGGGAAATGGCGGACTGCTTTGTTTGGCGACCTCTGTGAAATGGTCGTTCGACCCCAAATAGGGTCCCGACCCACAGGGTGAGAACCACTGGATTAGATTGAAAGTTACCATGATGTCTGATCTACTTGGAGCTACATATTTGGGAATATTTTTCTCAGAAGGGAGAGTTGATACTATTTTCAGTCCAATATTTGTTGGTTTGGTTCAAAGAAGGGCAAAAATCCCATGTAAGAAATTATCTAAGTCTTGAAAGCAATTTTTTTATTATAGTAGCCAATAAAATTGACAATAAAAGTCAGTATTTTATAGGAATGTATTAACCACTGTAGCAAACAATTTACATAATCATAAAATAATTCAAATACATAATCCTTTGTCATAATAATTGGGTAGCTTCTAAAGAGCTGTAGGGTTCTTCATTAATTTTTGATTTATAAGATAGCCAAGGAAGGGCAAGGAATTTAGTAGAAGTGAAAAAAAATGTAAGTCACAATTCAGTTTTGCCCTCTTAAATCCTGATAGGATTGCTCTACAGCTAATGCACTTGTGGAAATCCAGCATTTTACATTTAGAAAATTAATAAATCTGAACTTCACAATTGATATTTTAGTTACCAGGAATGTGTAAATTGTACATATTTTCAATCTCACAATAGAATTCTTTAATGGGAGATGAACCTAAACAAAATGTGGAAGTTAGCTTTCTCCATAAAAAGATTTCATGATCTTTAGCAAGAGTAGGATCCTTTCCCTCTCCTCTCCTCTTCTCCCTCCCCCTCCCCTTCCCCTGCTTAGATATCCTAAACCTCTTAGCAGTTCTCCTTGACTACCTACTGCTAATTCATTTTCTTTTAATTATACAATATTATTCAGCTTCACAGGAGAAAACTTTAAGCTTAGCCCGCTGACCTGGAATGGTAAAGATCTCAGAATGCTAAAAAAAAAACCAACAACCATTCTTCTGTGTTTACCATCCAGTATATTGTATTACAGTGTGACATTTGCTGTGAATTAAAATTCAGAACATGAGTTTCATTGTGAGCAAGAACCTGTTTGCGAACTGGTGCTTCATACAATACAGTAGGTATCTGTTTCATGGTATAGAGACTATCATGTTGCAGGTATGGGAGTAATTCATTCTTGCATGGGATTGATTGGCAGTAAAAATGCATAAACGGCAGCACCAGTTCAAAAATTTAATTTGATTTTAACACTAACAGCTATATTTTAACATTGACAATTATATTAGGTCATCTAAAGTAGCAGGAGATGGGGTGATGCTGTTAAGGTTTTGATGAGGTTCAGGATTTCTACATGCTAAATTATTCTTCTCAACTGATGTCCTCCAGATCTTTTAGACTAGCTCTTAGATTCTAGTTATTATGGCCAGTTGCTTAGAATTCTTTGAGTGTATTGTTTACCTATTTATTTTTGCTAGGCTTGTATATCACTCCAATCATTGACTAACTCTGAGCTGCTTAGAACCCTACCATGTTTAAACAGGATTCAAGCAAAAAATGAAATACCTAAATAGCCAACAATAAAGGTGGCTCCAAAGCCTTTGAAGGCATTGATTGAGGAAAGGTAGATACGGTAGATTACTTCACATTTACCTCTACAAGCTTTACTATTAGAGATTATTGCTATCCTCCTATTTGGCATGCAAATGTACTCCAACAAATTTGAAAAATTCAAAATCATAATTGAGATAGTTCTAGTAGATTTTTTTAAATGAATTGTTTTCATTAATTTATAATAGTATGCCATGGTTTGACAATAAGAGATAGGATTTCTACTATTGTGGGCAAAGACATTTTAACCTCATAGAAATTTAGGCATATGAATTTAACATTCTAGGATTTGCCCAGAATTTCAATCAATAAAAATCAAGCTGATCCTATACTGATAATTGTAATGTAAAATTTTGTCATCCTTTGGAGCTCTTTTCAGTTTAAACCCATATAAATCTAAGGGAAAACTTTGCTGTTTAGGAAGTCTTATATATCACTTTTATAATATAAATAATGTGGAAAGGTTTTGCCTTGATTTCATGATTTCCCTGTATTGCATGTATGGATATACTTTGGGTATCTTCAATGTTATTTCTATGTATTCTCCCCCCCCCACCCCCAAACAAGCCTTTGGGGTATAGTAGCTGTGGCTTGAGTTGCTCCTAGTTCTATTGTTGAGAACAAAGGTTATAAACCAAACAAGCCGATCTTGAAAATAATCCTATTAAAAATTAAATTAGTCAAATTTAGAAGCTGATACAGGTCTAATGAAATCATTAATGTAGAGATAAGGACAATTAGAATGACATCAATATTTAGTTGGAAACCATTTAGGCCATGGAATACTCTGCACACAAATATGGGCATTACCTTATCTCCCTCTTTTTATGTTCAAAGTTCTAAATGTCTGAGAATTGAAGCAGTTTTGGCAATGGATTCATTTTCAGAACAAGGACTGTATTGTTTGTGATTATTGTTTTTCACAGATTCCATTTCTTTAGAGTTTAGAATTAAGACAGTATTTCTAAACACTCATTATAATATTGCATAAATGTTACTGGATAATAACTGTACAGAAGCATTCCCCAGCCAGTAACTTCCAGTTATGTTGGAACAACTGCCATAATCCTCTAGCCAAATTGAGTGAGAATTAGGCAGATTGTAG